GAATGGCCTTTATTTTCAAATTGGATGATCTGTTCTATTGGCATGCAAGCATACATCATCGGTTCTATATTTGATTGGTTGTTCTACTATTGGCAGGTCATGTGGCAAAACAACCTCTACAAGTTTTACTGGTTCTACCAAACATGAGCAGAACTTGCATGAGAATGTTAAGCCGTTGCAATTGGCAACAAATGGATCCTCTCGTTTGGCTTACAGAAGTCCAGTGTTTAAACATCAGTGGAATCTTTCTGCTAGTTCTTCCTCTGCAAATGTGGTTGCCACTTTTGATGATGAACAAGATGTATCTTCCAGTGTTGTTGAAGAAAAAATTGGAGTACTGTTATTAAATCTTGGTGGTCCAGAGACCCTCGACGATGTTCAACCATTCTTGTTCAACCTATTTGCTGATTCAGTAAGTGGTCATACCCCAGTACCACCACAATGATAATTTCTCTGCCAGTGGACCTGTTCACTAATTGTATCTAGCCAATTTATCGAATGCTGTCTGATAACTTCGATTGATTGTATGCAACTCCTTAATATCAGCTTCTGAACTGATCAGCCTAGCAATTTGGAGCCTAAAGAAAAAAAAACCTTATTTGTGTGTTTTACCAATTGAAGTTTCCATTTTAACTGTTTTCCATGGTAGTTGAATCTTGAATGAGTGCGAACTAAAACAAAAACTTTTGCATGTCTGTGCTACTGAACATAGCAAATACTAATTTACGAAGTTCTCTCATTAATCATATGAATTTATAAATTCAGAATCCCTCTTTCTTGTATGTGTACTGAATTTGTTTTATCAATCGTTACAGTTTAGTTTTAAAAATTATCATAATTCTTTTCTATTTTTCAGGATATCATTCGACTGCCTAGGCTGTTCAGGTTTCTTCAAAGACCACTGGCCAAACTTATTTCTACTTTTAGAGCTCCTAAGAGTAAAGAAGGGTATGCTTCAATCGGTGGTGGGTCACCATTGAGGAAAATTACAGATGAGCAGGTATAAGTTCACAAGGCTGACCGTGTTGTGAAATTATTGTTGCATTTCTTTACTTTTGACCTGTTTTATTGATTGTGGTTTATCAGTTTGTTCAAAACTTGTTAAATCTCTGAATCTTTCAAGACGTGTTGATAGCAATTCAGTGTAAATCGCATTCTCAGTAAGATAACTGATATTTCAGGCAAATGCTTTGAAGATTGCTTTGGAAAAGAAAAATTGGAACGCAAATATATATGTTGGGATGCGGTATTGGTATCCTTTCACAGAAGAAGCCATTGATCAGGTAAATTCTAGCGCCCTGCCTCTGTTAATGTTTTCCTCCTGTTAAATCTTTTTTTCTTTGGTTTCTTTCTTTTGTCTCATGAGCATTCAATCAGTTTCCAAATGCATATCATTCTAGCATCTAGCAGAAAAACCTTGTCATCCGTTCAAAAGACCATAGTACCCTCATCGAGTGGCGTATGTAGAGTTGTCCCTAATAACTCCTGCTTGTATATGCACTTGCCTGTCCGTGTATGAGCTAACAATAAGCACGTGATAGCTAATTCCATCTTTGCAACCAGCATTGGTTTAGACGGATCCTTTGTGGTTGAGTCCAAAAAGAGAAAAATTTGTTGCAAGAAATCGACAATGCCAATGACATCGCTACTGCAATTGATTGTAAATCTTTACTTTTGCTTGTAACGATGATATAGTGAGGGTGGAAGGGTGTATCAGAAAAATAATTTTAAGTAATCTTGGAACTTTAGACTGAAATATTTTTATTATCAAGATTTAGAAGAATAACATGTATACTTGGAATGTAGTTATTTTGAATATAATTTTCTTCTATGGACTCAATGTTTGCATTATTCTAGTTGACATTTTTTACCCTAATTTAAGTTTCATATGTTCAAGTATTCCACCAAACAGATTTCATAGTTATTCCTTGTTGTCCATACAACTCTTATTTGATGATTAACTATTTCTTGTTTTTGGTTAATGATAGATTAAGAAGGATAAGATTTCCAAGCTCGTTGTTCTTCCACTCTACCCTCAGTACTCCATATCAACAAGTGGGTCAAGCATTCGTGTTCTCCAAAACATTGTCAAGTAGGATCCCTTCTCCCATATGAGACCCTTTTATTTTCTCTAACATGTAGGAGAGCTGCGTTATCTTTTATATTAAGAAGAAAAAGAGGGTAAAGAACCCAAACAACACACACACAACCACACCCCTAGGTACTGAACATTACATTCACATTTTTTAACTCAAGAAACTACCACAACCAACAAAAACACTACCACTAACCATTTCCTCGCTGCAAGGCCACAAAGAAAGAAATCCCTTTGGTACCTGGCTACCTGCTAGACCCCATAAGTTCATCTCATTAACTGTCAGCAGCAGCAGGGTTGCTAGGTTGGGCGAGGCACCATCAAACATACCACTTCTAGCATATGAGATCCTATCGTCTTTGATGCTACAAGAACTTGGAATACTAATGCATAGGTTTCCATGCAGGGAAGATTCATATTTTTCTGGCTTGCCAATTTCCATTATCGAATCATGGTACCAACGTGGTGGCTATGTGAAATCAATGGCTGACCTAATTGAAAAAGAGCTATCTGCCTTTTCCAATCCTGAAGAGGTGCCCTATTCGTAATTCTAGCTCCATCTTTATTCTACAGTTAGCAACAGAGGATCACTTATTTGATCTACACATTCCAAATTTCACTAGAGCTATTCACTAGCTATACAATTCCTTTCAAAGAGAATTTTATTGGAACTGTGATTTGAGATTGTTATAGGTATCTTTCTCTGGATAAACTTGACCAGTAATATACACAAATGTGTTAAGACTTAAGAGTAGGTAAATGCAAATGTTATTATTAGATGTATAGCAAAAAATACTTCCATGACGCTTTGTTTGTTACCTTAACTAACATATTGGCACGTTCTAAGTCCATGTTAATTTCTGAGTAGCACGAGATATTGTTTTTGCTGAAAGCAGCATTGCAGTTAGTTTACAGATAATCATGCGAAAATTGTGCTGTAATTTCAGTCTGACAATACTTTTTATTGTTGTGAAAATAAATGGCAGGTTATGATATTCTTCAGTGCACATGGTGTGCCACTTACCTATGTTGAGGATGCTGGAGATCCTTACAGAGATCAGATGGAGGATTGTATTTCTTTGATAATGGGGGAGCTGAGATCCAGAGGAATCTTAAATGGTCACACTTTGGCATATCAGGTATAGGTTATTCAAATTTGATATGTACTTGTGTCACTAACAATTTCAAAGATGTGCACGTATGTTTAAACGATCAAATTACCTTGCAAGAAAACTAGAAATGGAAAATGCCAAGTTTATAGAGTTCTGAGTTACCAGTTCTTTAGTTTTTTCTGGTCACAATTTACTACTGTTAACATTTCTTTTACATGTAGAGTCGGGTGGGGCCAGTTCAATGGCTGAAGCCATATACTGATGAAGTTTTAGTAGAACTTGGTCAAAACGGTGTGAAGAGCCTTCTGGCTGTTCCAGTAAGGTAATCAAGTTTAGCATTTCTGGCCTGGTAATTTTTTTTGGTACAAACGAGATAAGCAACATGTAGCTCTATATGATCTTCATTTCCTTTAGGTTAGTTTACTACATGCACTTCTCATGATACATGTTAGTTCCTCATTTCTGTTTGTATTGATCACATTGGTATCTTTGGCACAATGTTGACCATCTGAAAGCCTTATGAAATATGAATTTAATGTTATAACATGTTATGCGCATCTTATGTGTTTGCAAAAGCTTGTATGTTCCATTGTATTAATGAATGGAGAACTTATTTCAAACAATTTTAGAATCAGATGCCTCCCCTAAAAGGATCTTTTGCATGAGAACTTGTCCATAGAACACAACTACACAATCCAGGAGCTCAGTTTTTACAGTCAGTGAATGTCTTGTTGGGGTTTTTTGATATGCTAGTATCTGGTTACTCTGTTTACCAGTCAATATTATGTTGCTGTGGTTATTGATGTAAGCTGAACCATTTATGACAAATACAGCTTTGTGAGTGAGCACATCGAGACATTGGAAGAAATAGACATGGAGTACAAGGAGTTGGCTCTAGAATCTGGCATTGAGAACTGGGGTCGGGTTCCTGCTCTTGGATGCACTTCAACCTTCATCTCCGACCTTGCAGATGCTGTTGTCGAAGCCCTGCCCTCTGCTTCAGCACTCAACCAGAAAGCCTGAAGACACTGATTCCAACATGGACCTGATGCAGTACCTGACCAAGATGTTCTTTGGCTCAATCTTGGCATTTATCCTGCTGTTATCACCAAGGCTAGTTTCTGCTCTCCGGAACACCATGCTTTAGGTTTGCTAGGTAAGCACTAAGCAGAAATGGTGTGATAGGTAGTTTCCCAAAGCATTAAATTTTGAGATTGATAATGGGAAAAACTGCAAGGAACTTGGTGATCATAACTAGAGATCCTTTAGGCCACAAGGTAGGAGCTTGCAATTTGCTGTTTCTGATATTGTTCACAGGAAACATTGGTCTCATAAATGAATCTATGAAAGCACAGAACATTACAGCTCAAAGGTCTTTGTGGGCCCTTCTCTTTTTTGGATAATCTTATTTAGCCCACCAGTAATACTGGAGGCTGTTGTAGGCAGCAGCTGTCTTCCTTGAAAGTTTCTCCATACTTTGGGATGCATGTGCTATACTGCTATTGCTACATTTGTTTTATGACTGCCAAGGTGACTGCTATTCCTATACATAGGTGATGTAATGCTGATCTTGGTCACTGACTTATGCCGAACGCTATTACGAATGCATGCACCTGCCATTTGGTATTATCCTGACGAGGTGACGGATACTCCTATGCTTAGATGTTGTAAGTAATGCCTTCTGCATTGTTATATATAATGTCGACGTTAATACGTAGTGACTATCCGAATTGAGAGGCAGTTTTTGGTGACTGATAGGAGTGCCAATCTTGCAAAGAGAGGTTTCTCGATCAATGGAGGTCATCTTGACTGCGATTCTGGGTGAAGTTGCGAGCAGATCTTTTTCATTCTTGATTGACAAATACATGGCAGAAGAATCAATAGAAAGTGTGGATGAGATGCTCCAGAGTCTGCAACTGCTGTTACTTCGTGTCCGCGTCATCCTGGAGGAGGCGGACGGGCGAAGTATCACAAGCCAAGCCATGCTGCAGCAACTGAACATCCTGAGGAAGGAGATGCACAGGGACTACTACGTCCTGGTCAGTTTCAGAGGAAACCAAGCCAGAGAAGACGAGGCCAAAGGTCACAACAACATGAGCCACTATTTTACCCTCTCCAAATTCAGTCCTGCCAAGCGCCTTTCTCTCTCTAGTGTAGGTGGTACATGCACACCATGCGTGAAAGAAGATCAGCAAGTGTCCAAAAACTTGGGCACTATCATCTTACACACGAGTGAGTTTCTCGCATTTCTGAAGAACTATCCTCCGCGGTACCGCCAACCTTACTTTATGCATCTGATGATTGGCCTGAGCATGTTTGGCCGTGAAATGGAAATGGAGAGGGTCATCAATTTATTGATGCAAAACGAGCTTTGTACCGAACAAAGTATAGGGGTTCTACCAATTATTGGTCCAGCAGCTGTTGGGAAGAGCACTCTAGTTGCACATGTGTACAATAGCGAGAAAGTGCGTCAATAATCGCCCAAGATGTCAAAGACAGACGGTTGGCAACTTTGAAGGACGATGGAGGTTATCTGACAATCCACCAAAATAATAATACACAAAATGGAAAGAGGAGATTGCTAGTTATCACTGAATTATTAGAGGACGTTGAAGAGGATACGTGGAAGAGGTGGTATGTTGACTCTGCTGCCTGCCTTGAATCTGGAAGCAAAATCGTTATCACGAGTAGATCAAGCAAAATCATAAAATTTGGTACTACACAAGCCCTTGTATTAAATGTTCTACCGATAGAAGCATACTGGTATTTCTTTAAGGTGCTTACATTTGGGAGTGCAAATCCCAAAGATCATCCAAAACTGGAATCGGTTGCCCTAGAAATAGCAAGTAAGATGAATGGATCGTTCACAGCTTGCTAAGAGAAAATTTCAATGCTCAATATATTGGCTACGAATCCTTGCATGCTAAAAAAAATATCCCTGCAATGGTTTTAGGCAAGAACATAAGCCTCAATATTATCGGAGAACAGAATCAGATAGTAGTCGTTATTTTGTGTTTTATGGTTGCTACCGGACAATTCACAATGCGGTTCCTAAAATAACATTGCAGGATGTTCTATCCGGACGTGTTCAATGTCAAAAGAGACCTGAGGTCCTCGCATGGAAGTCCCGCATGCCGCCATATTGTAGCTGTATTTATAGTTGTGCCATATCCAAATCAGATGCAATCAACAAACAGAAATGCGGAATCATCACGCCTCTACACCTTCCGACAAAAACATTATAATGTGTTGAATTTTACAACAATTTGTCAAATGACAATTCAGAAAGAACACAATATTATTGAAGTTTTGCATGTCATTATGTATGATCTTGTCGGTGTATTCGGACCACCGACGAGTAAATTTGTATTTGCGCGTCTGTCTCGGATGGTGTGCTCGAATGACATAAGGGTTTATACTCGTTCGGGCAGAACGTTCCTATGTCCAATTCGCTGCTGCTCGTGTTACCGACACTTGGTTTACAGTAGGGATTACAAACAGGCGAGAGAGAGAGGATCTAAGTCTCTGGTGGAAGGAGTGAACCGGTGCTGAGAGCTCGCTTGCCACTCAGCCGTGTGCTCGTGTCGTGCGCTTGTGTTCCGATTTTGTTCGGATCCCCATCCCCCTTTCATGGGACGCCCTGCTTCCCCTTTTATAGGCGAAAGGAAAGCGCGGGTTATAGCGGAGGAAGAGGAGAAGAACGAGAGAGAGAAGAAGGCTTCTAGGGTCGTCGGGTCCTTCTTCTCCTTCATGCGGGTCCTGCCGATCCTGTAGATGTCAATAGGGACGGCTCGACGTCGCGGCCTTGATCGTCACTGGCGCCATGTGCAGACGTCATCTGCCGGTCATGGCATTCCACTCCGTCCCGGCGGACATCGTGGTGAACTAACGCGCCTGTCAGCGTCCGTACGAGGGTTAGGCAGAACAGCACCGACATGCCCGACACTGTTCTTGATGTGAATACCCAGGTATGCTTCGTCATGGTCACGAGTTGCATCGAGGTGTGCTAGTCTTTTTCCTGGTGTCAGAGTTTTGATCCAGACCCATACGCTTGGACCTGGAGTGGTTGGCGGCGGTATGGGTCTCCGTCGGACGAGACGGAAATCGCGTCTTTGGGGTCGGGCAAGACGGAGCCCGTACCCAAGGGGTCAGGCGAGACAGAGCCCGCGGCCTCGAGGTCGGGCGAGACGGAGCCCGCGGCCTCGGGGTCGGGCGAAACAGAGCCCGCACCCAAGGGGTCGGACGAGACGGAGCCCGAGGCCTCAAGGTCGGGCGAGACGGAGCCCGCGGCCTTGGGGTCGGGCGAGACCTTTTAATACGTCTTGCTCCATCTGGGGAAATCAGCGTGGGCGCTAACCTCCTTGCTTTGGGTATCCCTAATATCGATACTTGACAGTAGCCCCCGAGCCCGCGGAGGAGTAGAATACTCCTTTGGAGGCTTTTCCGGACGGGAGGACTCTAAAGGCCTTAGCCTTCTTTTTGTAGCCCGCGGCACGTCCTGGTAGGGTGGCGGTTCCCTTTTGTCGCGATCGGTCTTCTTGGGGCGTGTAACCGTAGGATTCAGGAGGTCGGAAAGATTTTTCTTGATTCCGGTCCCTAGAATCCGATCGGTCCGCCATCGTACTGTGACCGTGCGTTTGGTCTCCTTGCGAGTCCAACTTTCCTCGAGCCCCCCTGCATAGTAGGGGTCCGGTCGAGGGTCGGCTCGTCTTTGTGATCGTTGTCCCTCAAGCATTTTTTTCGATAAAACAGAGGGGTTTCCTCGATGGACGAAACATGGTGCTCGGTGAGCTGTTAAAGGGCTAGTCCAAGTGGGGCCCTGACTTCCTGTTCGCGGGGGTCCAGCATGGGTCAGCTGGTGACCGACTCTAGACTCTTGGCGGCCAGTCCATATAGTTCTTGGGTCCGTTCGGCCGGTCCCAAGGGTTTGTTGCCTTTCTTCGAGGAAAAAAACATGGACTGGGAACCGACCAAGACTCGAACGTGGGCCGAGACGCCCGTGGTGCTTGTGCGCCTGGGTACTGGCCACTAGTGGGCCCATCCCTTTCCACCCCTCGCTCTAAGGGTACCCCGGAGCGACTGTGAACCCGTCGGTGGGCCAGCCTTCGAACTCCTAGTCCTGAATGGGACGTAGGAGCTTTTTTCAGCTATGTATCCCTCCTTACCTACGATGGTTCTTAGCTCATTGAACGGGCGAACCGTCATCCGGCATATCCTTTGAGGGCACGGCCAGAGATAGTGTGCGCGTGATCTTCGGAGGGAGGTGACGTGACGCGGCGCAGCGGACGCGTGAATCTAGGCGAATGGTTCGCCTTCTCACCCCGCTTTGCCCTATAAATAGCGGTCTCCCCCTTCATGTTTCTACACACCAAAACCATAGCCTTACCTTTTTCGCTTCTCCGCCGCCGCCGTTCGGATCTGCCGTGCTTGCTAATTCATCGCTTGAGCCCTAGATCTGTAGCTTCCGCTACTCTGCCACCGTCTTTGCTTGTTCGCAGCCACCTCCATCCTCCATGGATTCGTGGTACCGCTTCGATGTTACCCATGCGCGCATGGAGGGCCTCGTCAAGCGTGGTCTTCTCTGCGAGAGGACCAATGCGGTGGAGTGGCTTGTGCCCGGTCGTGAGGATGCGCTGGCGCCACCCGACGGCTACGTCATCTCCTTTGCACTCTTCCATGAGCGTGGACTCATAGTTTCTCCCCACCTGTTCTTCTAGGGTCTGCTGCACCACTATCAGATCGAGCTACAACACTTGAACCCCGACGGGATCCAGCAAATCGCGGCCTTCATCGCGATGTGTGAGGGGTACCTAGGGATCGAGCCCCACTTCGAGCTCTAGAGATATTTCTTCTCCATCTCCTTGATAAGAAGGAGAGAGGTCAGGAGACCCCGGTGCCAATGGGATACGCAGGCATCCACCTCCGGGGGCAATAGGCGGCCGAGTACATGCCCTGCCAGCTCTCCAGATCCAGCAAGGGTTGGCACTCGCATTGGTTCTACCTGAAGAACAACCCTGCCACTCCCTTGCCGGTCTTCTCCGGGCGTCTGATCAAAGAGGTACCACCATCATGGCTGTGGGGACCACCCGTCAAGGAGAAGAAAAGGATGTGCGACCTCCTCGAGGCCATCGTGTTCCTAAAGACCCGTGGCCTCCGTGGGGCCGGCGTCATTAGGGGTTATCACGCGAGGAGGGTGGTGCCGCTGATGGCGCGCGTCCTCCCGCTATACGGGATGATGCCCGGGGCGTAGCTCATCGAGACGACGCTATTGTGGGGGATGACCTGCCCCACAATAGCGAGGTCGCGCAGCGCATCAAGGAGGCCATGGGGGAGGCCAACACCGTGTTCCCGATCCTAGGGCATCTCGTGATGCGGCCAGACGTGGGCTTCATCGAGCTGTCGATGGGGTCAGTCTTCCGGGACTCTGTTGGGCTGCTGCCGGAGCACGCGGCCATGAGGGAGGTGAACCATGCCGCAGATAAACAAAGAAAGAAGAAGAAGGACGAGAAGGAGAAGAAACGGCTGTCGAAGCAGCGAGCGAAGCAGCATCAAGGTTCATCAGGAGAAGAGGAGGAAGAGGAAGAAGAGGAGGGGGTGGAGGATGACGGCTCTGGGTCGCCCATCCCGTGGGATGAACTAGCCGCTGGGGACAAGGACCCGCCTTCACCATAGGCGGGGCCCTTCCCATGGCATGTCACGGGGCAGGAGGGGGAGGACACGCCCCCGAAGCCGACAAAATCAAACCGCCCTGCCCCATCCAGACCTTCGATGACGGTCTCAGAACTGGCGGAATCAGTCCACCTTGCCTTGTCTGGGTCTTCCACAGCAGCCCCGGAGCTGACAGAAATAGGTCACCCTGCTCCGTTCGAGTCCTCGACGGCGCCTTCGGAGTCGGCGGGAGGCAGCCATTCTGATTCATTCGAGCCCTTCGAGCTGAGGGAGGGCTCAAAGCGGCAACGTGCCAATGAGGAGCAGACAGAGTCGGGCAAGCCGACCCCTAAACATCCTCATATGACGGCGTCAAGGTGAGTCAAGAGTTTTTTTTGTCCTTTTGTCTTAACGGATTTTTGCCGTGAACTGACCACCATGTCTCTCATAGTGTCGGAGGACGTGGGACTCTTCTGTGGCTTGCTCCAAAAAAGATCCTCCTCTAGGAAGCGCGCTAGGAGCCGGCTGACACCGTGCCGGTGGAGGGCGTGAGTGGCGTCAGGGCGGCCACGGCATCGACCGGGGAGGCATAGTCGATGGCTACGTCCATGGGAGAGCAAGCAAAGGAGGGCACGTCCGGGGCGCCCGTGGTGGGTGTGGCGTGGCCGGTCATGTCCTTGACGTCGCAGGCGAAGGCGGCACGGCTGGAGCCATCATCCGTGTAGGTGGTCGTGTTCGTGGCAGGGCGGATGGAAGGGGCCGCACTCGAGGCATCCTTCATGGATGTGGCGACAGGGCAGGCCTCCGTGTCCACGTCACCCGCCCCCTC